CGACAACTGTCTCCAAGCACCAAAATCCACCCAACTCGTTGTCTGTCCTTTTTGCGGGCTCGAGTGGGCAGTCACGGCCATTCTCTGCTTGAGCGGTTTGGACGGCCAGTGCGGCACGACGACGGATGGCCCCGACTTCAGTGGCTCGACACGGCCAATGATAAAGTCGCAAGGCCGCGGGACAGTGGGTGGATACGCGCATGGCATGGGACCAACATTGAGGCACCCAATAAGACCATTCAAGCAGGAGGCCTGGCAAGCAATGATGTGAACCAATAGGGGCACCGCACCCTTACAAACATGTCCGGCGTCGATGCCCGCGGCGACTCACGCTTCCACAAGTGCGACTTTCATATGCGATTCATCCAGTTGTTTGGTGACGGCATTCCACGAGCAGCCGCTGCGGGAACTGCTTGCGGACATGGAGAGTCAGGTTACAAAGACTGCGAGGACCTATCAGCTGACTTTTCCACCTGAAGCCGCGCAGTTTGTCGCGCTGTGGATGTGCGGTCGCGCCCCAGATGCAATGCACAGCGGCGACCAGTTCTCGCCAAACTGGGATCCGCTCGCAGAAGCTCCACCGACCCCAACGGCTACGCGCGGGAGACAGAATGGACAGGGGTGCCCTGCAACTCATCCCAACGACGCCCCGGCAGGCTGGACCGAGGAAGAACGGGACAGATGGCTCATGGATCAGTGGTCGACGGTGAATGATATCCTAGCTCTGATCTGGAAGGGGACGCTCGAGGATGGCAGCGACAGATGGGCTTTACCAGCCGTCGCGTTCGGCTGCAATGACTACTCACAGCTCAACGGAACAGACTGGATTGTGAAGATCAGACATCACCTGTCCAATCACGTCTCCGCCATCAATCCCACAGGATGGGAGACCTTGGGCGGCCTTGCACATCGGGTCGACGTGGACGGCCACGGGGACGCATTACGCTGCAGCACTCGCATCTCCGACGCAGTGGATCGACACGTGGATCTCGACCCACGGCACGGTCGTTTCGCGCCAGAGGACGAGCTAAATCGTGCCACCTCACCCACGATGCAATGGAGGACGCCCTCGAGGCGCTCCGCGGCGACAGAAACCGCGAAAAGGCAGACAAGATTGCGGCGTCACGCACAGAAGGCCCCCCCCCCCCAGCTGCCGCAGCACGGACGGCTGGGGCGCAGGGAGAAATCGGGAAATGGTGGAGCTTCGCCCCCAGCACCACGGACCCGGCCCCGAATCAGCTAGTCCAGGTGCGACGGGAAGACATGCCCAGACTTGACCTGGTGAGGACCCACCAAACTCTGTTGCGAATGCACGCTTCGTGCGTGAGTGAGTGGAGGCGTCATTACGCACACGCTCCCACCCCAGAGCAGCGATGCTCGGATCCGGCGCTCCACTATGGGGACTCGCTGATCCGCTGAATCCGCAACACCTACCAGTCGGATGAGATGCCACTGAACGGGCGTCCAACGAAAGATCGCTTTAGCGCACATTGTCACAGCGCGCGAGGTGACTGATCATGGGAACAAGGCCAAACGGACAGGTGCATGGCCCCCTTGATGCCGTCTGGCAGCAACACACCACGGACGACCGCTCGCTCTGCAGGGGAAGCGACCCACGCCGCCATGAAGTCAGGGTCCTAGACAGTTTTTTGGCCACGTCCACTACCAACGACGCGCTATGGGACTTTCCATGCGCACTTCAGGAACTGGCCATGGCAGAGACGGAGGAGACACAGGACATGACCATTTCCTTTCTTACGGATGAACATCCTGAGCTAGGCGGATACACTTGGAGATGCAACGACGTGTACTTTTGCATGTCGAAAGATCGGGAACTGCAGGCCCTGCCAGATCGGCCCCGCCGAATGGGCCCAGAAGCCGACATGCAGGTGCGCCAGGTGGCGAGGGACATTGCGCAGGACGGCTCCGACATCAAGAAGGCGAACAACACTGGGAGCTGGACGTCGGATGGGATACAGGGCGTCCTGATCGCACTCTACCCCCAGGACTGGGCCCGGGCGGGCGAGCACCCCATCCACCAATTCTGCGGGACGCGGCGGGCCCTCGCGGACGCGGTGGTCCACCTGGTCGGCACGAGAGACAATCCCATCCCCACCGTGGGCCGCTGGGCAGCCCACGTGGGCGACGAAGTCGTCGCAAACACAGGTCTGGACCCACGAAGGCAAGACGCACAACTGCTGGCTTCGTTTCTTCGACGCCAAGGTGCTCGCAGACCCAGGATGGGGGATCCGCGCAAGCGCGGCGCACCAAGGCACTCCCATGGCACACACACACACACACACACACACACACACTACCACCACCACCACCACACCACCACCACCACCACCACCACCACCACCACCACACAACAACAACAACAACAACAACAACAACAACAACAACAACAACAACAACAACAACAACAACAACAACACTACCACCACCACCACCACCACCACCACGCACCACCCATCTTTCCAGGGAGATATCCCGTTACGCGGCGGATCTCATCCCATCCGAACAGTGGCTGCAAAGACAGAGGACGCCAGTCTGTGGGGCCTGATTTGGTGGTGTAGGCACGTGCTTTGCTTGCAGGGGTTTTCGCAGGGCCTGCCCCCCTCTTCACACCAATTCTCCTCGCGGCGTTTTGTCATCGCCAAGGAGGTAGCGCACACCATGTGGAACCAGCTCCTCTACGAAGCCGCTCGGAGAATTTTGGGAAGGCCGCGCGTGGGCTGCGGCCTGGCAACGACGGCAGGGTGCATGGGATGCCAGGCCATCAGAAGAATGCCTAGTGAAGAATGGGGTTCCGGGCGGCGTGCGCCGTTGTGCGTTATGCGTACACACGAAGGAAGACGAATGTCACTTCTGCCGTGGCCCACTTCACTTTCGCCCATATCCCCCACCAATATTTCGGCGGTTTAATATTTCCTAGAGGAGGGGGGGCCAGGCCGACAGGACGTTCGGGGGCGACATCGCGCTGCTAACGGAGGCATGAGCTAGCGACGCCATGCTTTGCCCCCCCCCCTGCTCTGCAACATCTATTTTTTTCGAGGACTGCCCGTACCCGTAATGTGCGGGGCCGCTGGCGGGAGTGGCTCCTCGCTTCGCCCTGGCGTTTCCCACTCTCCCTTTCTTCCCGCGCGCCACTGCGCGTCCTTGCAGGAGCTCCCCCCATTTTGCGTAGCTGCGGCATTGCCACTCGCCGCTCTTTTTTGCCTCCTTCTCCCATTCCGCGAGGCGACCGCCAGCGCTGTGGGCTGTTTTCGCGGCCCCCAGTTGCCTCGTGGCTTGTCCCGCGGAACTGTTGGCGGGACTTGCCGCTTTTGTCTCTCGTCGCCTCAGGCGTCGGGACCTCTGGCGCAAGGCTAGCCCGCACCCGGAGGTTGTCTTCCCGGTACTCGGCCGCGTCTCGCCAGGCCTACACCACCCACGTTTTTTGTCCTAGTTCTGGATCCTCGCTCCGCTCACGCGTTGTAGCGCGTTTTCCCGTCGGCCCATTGGACCTGGCGGCGGCCCTACTGCCTTGCTGCCAGCGCCCCAGCACGGGGCATGGGCCAGCCTGGCCGCGGCCCACTTCCCTTCTTGTCGCGCTCCCCAGGCCTCGGCCTGGGGCGGCCCGCTACAGCCTTTCTCTGCACCATCCTGCCCTCTACCGCCATACCGCCTTCAGCGGTGGCCTATTGGTCGCCCTGCTTGTTGTCTCTCCGGGGTGCATCGGGGACGCGGCCCGGCGGTGCCTTGCACCTCTCGCGTTGGCCGGGGCACTGGCACTCTTGCGCCCCCCTGGGGTGTGCGTGGTAGTTTCCACGGGCACCGCTCGTGGTCGGCGCTTTTTAACGTTGGCAGCTTGCCGAGGTGGCCTTACCGCCTTGCTGCTGGCACGTCGGATTGGGCGTTGGCTGGCATGGCTGTGGCCTTTTTACTTTCTGTGCGTCTGCATTGCATCTGGGGTGTGAATCGCACCTGGCGCTGCAGGTCGTATCTTGCCGATTCCAACTTTGCTTCATCTTGATTGTTGGCGGTTTTCGTTGGCGTAGCCCGGTGGCGGGTTCGCTTTACCCGTACTTTCCTCACTTATTTGCTTATGGTCGAAGTGGTGCAACCCTCAGGTGACGCGCACAGATACTATTATTAGGTGGTGTTTTTTGGAACGTTTCTGCTCCACCCATCCATGGTTGCCGCAGCGATGGCTGCGGTGGGGTTGCCCTTCAACGGTGGCGTCCGCATTGCACGCTGGTCACGCGCGCGCCTGTCCACCCCCCATGGATTTGCCTGCGCTGTCCACCACCCATGTGCGCCACCGCGTGAAGCAGTTGCTGCACGCAGTCCCGCGTTCAGCTTTGTTACTTGTCCAGGCTATGTCTGCCTCGGACGCGCGCGCGTGTCATCGCGCTACTCTCACTTGCACGGCGCCTTGTTGTCTGTTGCAAGCCTGGCGGCGTCGCTTGTCGCGCTGCTGCGCATTTCGCGTCGCCGCCTAGCTGGCTGGCCCGGAAGCCTTACAGTTCTTTCCCGCCTCACTGGTCAATTAGCACCAGACTGCTTCTCGCGCTTCAACTCTTGGCGTAGAACCACGCTCCGCGGGATGATTGGCCGCTGCACTCTGGCCTTACAGTGCCTCCATGGTGTCATCACCGATCTGCATGGCTGTGGCTGAATCCATTCATCATGGCGCGTTCGACTTAGTTCGATCGCAATTGGCACCTCTACCTGCCGACCGCGCCTCAGGCTCCTCTGCGCCGCCGCCTTAAAAATGCGTGTGTGTGTGTGTGTGTGTGTTATGCCGTTATTTCTTCGTCGACTGCCTTAACTGCCAGGATATATCCATACATCCACAGCTCCAGGGTCGTGCCCGTGGACCTCGGGGAATGGTGGACATGGATACCTGCCCGCCCCTAATGAGGGCAGCAGAATTTCCACATCCACCTCTCGTCGGGGTCCCTGGGCACGACGCCGAAGCGGTGGGTGTAGACGCATCCTGGCGATGGAGCCGCCTGCACCGCTCGTTGGCGAACTCCAGCGCGCCCGCGTTCTGCGCCACCGCGGCCAACACGAGGTGGCGGTCGTTGCTGGCGGGCTCTCGCACGTGGCGGAGCGCCAACCCGTTCTGGCGTACGGCGGCCAGCGCCACGGCGGGGTCGCCGCGCAGCGTCTCGGCCGCGAACTGCAGCGCGTCGCCTCTCGGCCGGGCCCCCCTCGAGATGCCCAGGGCGGCTTCTGTCGTACGGTCTCACGCCCGAGAGGGGTTCGAGGTTCCAAGTTTGAGGTTTTTGAACGTTGTCGTCGGGTCGCGGAGGTTTTCCAGCCTCGGGATGCTCTCCAGCAGCTGCGCCTCGCCGAGAACGTTCTGGGAGTGCCCAGATCGTCCCGAACGGCCGCCAGAGGCCGAAGTTATGACCCAATGACAAAAGCCAGCGGCGCGCCCAGGGGAAGGTAGATAGCGCGGCCATCTCAGAAGGCTCAGAAGGCTGGAGGGCCTCTGAGAAGCCCCGCCGCCTTCTGAGAAGGCCTGCCCACTCCCACTTCCCCCCTCGGCGCGCCGCCGAGAGATGCCCTGGGCGGTTTCCGTCGCACGGTCTCTTGCCCAGTCCGACTTCGGGCGCGATGGCGCGGCGAGCGAGGGGGGGAAGTGAAAAGGAGAAGGCCTTCTCAGAAGGCGGCGTGACTTCTCAGAAGCCCTCGCGCCTTCTGAGAAATTGTCGGTGTCTTCCGGGGAAGGCTTAAAGAACTTCCCAGATGGCCAGGAGACTTCCGAGCCTTCTGAAAAGGCCCGCCCCTCCTCACTTCCCCCCTGGGTTCGCCGCCGAGCCTAGGCCGGCATTTCTGGCGAGCCCGGCCTTTCAGCTGCACGGCCGCCAGCGTGGCCGCGTGGTCGGCCGACGCTGGCTGCGCTCTGCGCGGCGGCCTGCGCGCGCCCGCGCCGGCGCCAGGGGGCTCGGCCGCCCCCCTCAGGAAGTCCTTCAGGCTGCTGGCGAGGTGGCGCCCGCTCGCCGGTCGGGGGGCACCGAGAATCCACCTCGCCAGACCTCCCTGCGCCGTGGCACACCTGAACCCGCTCGCGCGTCCAAGCAACCCAGGCTGCGGCAGTGCGAATTGTCCCGCATGCAAAAGGGGGAGGGAAAGGAGAGCGCCGCGCCGTAGCACTCCTAAAGCAGCGGAAGGCATCTGGCAATTCTTCGGGCTCCAGGTCCACTGGGGGGGCCCCGAGCACGGCGCGGGAGGAGATGCCTGCCCTGGGGAAGGGGTCGGGACAACTCTGGGAGTCCACACTTCGTGAAAAAAACACCGACGTCGGAGGTCCTGGTGTCCGCCTCCGATCGTGAACATCGCCCTGGAATCCGCGATACATCGCCAATGGATCGGCGATAGGCCCCCCGATAGCGAATCCGCATGCTCCTGGGCGGGGTGGGCCACAGGGTCACTATAATTCGAATAGGAGATCGACTACAGCATCGATCTACCCCAGAATGGATTCTTCTCGTCGAACCTACAGACAGAAAACGCATGATGCCCACAGACCTACGAACATAATACCTAATTTCGTAGAGGTCGACGAAAACACAATTCTGGTTCACATCAATTCTGCAGTCGATCTCGTACTCTAACAATGGGCGATTGGGGGTCGATGCTCAAAGCGAGCCACGACGTCGGAGGACCTCCAACGTCGGAAGGCCGGGCCCCAGGGAAGCCAAAGGAACCGACACCGCTACTCTCCAGACCTCTCCCGGCCTCGGGTGCGCTCTGACAGAAACTTTGGGGCGAACCCGGGAGGCCCAGAAAGGCCAAAACAAGGCGAAGGCAGCGGTATCGGTGCCGCCTCCCCCTCTGCGAGCAACCACCGTTCGAGGAGCAGCTGCATGCCCAACAGGTGATGAGGACTGGCTGCGTGACGGAAAACCCTTTTCGCAGTGCCTCCGTGGAGCGACATGGGAAAAATCATACGCACACACACACACACACACACACACACACACAAACACACACACACACACTTTTTGCGTCGGCGGCTAGGCAGAGCGTCACTGCGCTGGCGATGGGGCGTAAGTGGGATGCACGCA